AATCTCATCTGAGAGAACTGAGGTTAAGAATTAAACAGAATCGGGAAGATAGGACATCCCACCCCGTCTTGTGCTGAAACAATGAAGGGATTTCATTTACTATTTGCTATTTGCTAGATAACTACTCTTGAGCTGCACTCTGTTGAGCACACACAACAGGAGCAAGGAGACCCACCGCCCACCCATGTGTCACATGGGAGCTCAGGCGTCTTCGTCAGACAAGGACAGAGAAACCCTGGGATAGCTGAGGTCTGCATGCCTCTTAGCTAATGATGTTAAGCCTGAAGATAAGACTGGACTCTACACAAATCATAAAGATTCTTTTCACAAACTGGCATTCCTGGATAGATACGGGACCCCACCTCAAAATGACCCCTCAGAGTGACCAAGAACAGAGAGAGCCAGCAGTGCCCCACCACGCTGCAGTTAGGTGCAGAAGGAAGGGGGACAATAGAACCCAATAATCTACCATACCCAGAAGCCATGTAGCCCCAGAACTGCATTTTTGTACCCTCTAGAGAACAGCAAGTAGCAAGAAGTGCCTGGGTTAGAATTCAGTTTATTTCCCAACCTAAGAGAAACCACGTGCCCAAAGACTCCGGCAATGCCAGACAGTCTGGCCACCTGTTGTTTTCCTTCATGTCAGCCATCTCAGCCATCAACTTGCTGAATAACTCTTTGGAAGCCCCTGAGATGCTGATATCTTCAAGTATTCTAAAGACCCCATTACCACAAAACCTGGCTCAGCCCTGGTGCTCCCAAGGGACCACCTTTCTCCTCCCTGAGTTGGTCCACTGCTTAGAGCTCTGGACCCAGAGTTCTTCTTGGACCTTCCACCTTCTTCATGCAAAGAGACATGGCCCTGGGGGGCAGAGGCAGGGAAACAGCTTTCAAGTCTTCTGGGAAGGCTCTAGGGAGAGAGGGCCCAAGCTCCCCACACCCACCCTGACTTCCCGACTGTTCCCGATCCTGGATACACTTCCCTGCCCTGTCCCCAGAGATG